GTGTCTATTCTTGCAGTTGGGATAATAAGACGATTCATAAAATTGATCTCAAAATAAAACATATGTCGACATCGGATGAGGACAGGACTGTTGAGAGACATAACTTTGGTCCAAATAATTATGATTTTGGAAAAGTAGTCAAAAATTCAGAGGAAAGAAGTGACAGAAGTCACGATATCTCCAAAATGGGAAGCAATGGGTTTATGAATAAAAAGCAAATTCTAATGAGAAGTAAACCGAAGCGCGCTTTCAATTTACAAAAGGATTCAGTGCTTAACGAAGAGTCATATTCAGCAGAATCTCCGGTCATTAGTGGCGACCGAAGAATGGATACGTTTGAAGTGAATTACGGCAATGAGAATAAGGAAGTGTCCGATCATGTCATCAATAAATATGAAGACAACTCCGAAGAGAATTACAGATCGCAACCAATTAAAGACGAATCGCTTATAAGATTAGAGACTGTTTTAGAAGATCTGAGAAAACTCACAAAATCTCAATCCATTAGTTCGGACGCCTTCTCTAATAATAGGCATAACAAGAGTGAAAATAATTACAATTTATTAATCAATGCTTTGGTCTCAAGAAATGGAAAACCAGAGCATTTGAAGTTTGATTGGTTGACCACTGATTGGTCGATATGCGATCAGCCCTGCAATGGCACTGAATATCAAGTATTGAATCAATTATTTATTCACAGTATTTGAAACTAATTGAGAATTTTGTTATTTCAAACAAAGGTTAGAGACATCCAATGTCTTGTAATCTATGAGAATATCTCCAAAACAATAGACAATATGTTTTGCACCGACGCCGGACTCATCGCTCCGAAGACTATCCGTAGTTGTAGACAATCTGACTGTCCGTTTTGGCAAACGAGTCAGTGGTCTGATGTAAGGCTTAACTTTATTGCAGAAAAACTTTTGATTTAATTGAAAATAAAATCTATAATTTATAGTGCAATCAATGCATTGACTTGAGGACTGGTATGCAATACAGGGAAGTGAGTTGTTCTCTAAATAATGGAACAATTCTGGATCATAACGAATGCCAATCACAGGACAAACCAATTACTCAAAAACAATGCATCAATGATTTATGTGAGGCCACCTGGGTCACTGGTCAATGGACTCATGTTAGTAATCGGTTCAGTAAACTTTTAAAAGTTTTAATGTGAAAATAGTTAAAAGCTTTCTCAGAATATCCTGTAATTAAGTAATATTGAAAGATTTGTTCACTTTGAAATTTAGTGAAAATTAAAAAATTCAATAACTGTTTACTGAATGAATTTCTATGAATAGTGTACCGCAAAGTGCAATGAAGAGGGCTATCAGTGGCGTACAATTGAATGCGTTTGGTTTAATTCGGGACAATCAGCCGGTAATGCCTGCAATGATAAGACCAAACCCGATGTCGTCAAATCCTGCTCTAATGACTCCTGTAATCCAAGTAAGTCCTTAAATACCAAATAAGAGTAACTAAACTTTATGAACGAAATAGGCAATGAGTGTGTGGACACATCCAAACATTGTCATTTGGCTAAATCACTGAATATGTGTCGAATTGCTCATTACAAACACCAATGCTGTCAGTCCTGTCAAAGTTATCCATAAAGCACTTCTTCGGTTGTTATATTCATAATTTTGACACATTTTTAATTTATATCATAAAATCAATTGAATTGAAAACTTGATTTTGAAAATTTTAATCTGTTATTCAGTATAGCCAAACATATACAGTAATTGAAAACAAGTTAAATCTGTCAATCAATAAATTAGTTTAAAACTAATTGATACAATCAAATAAATCTCAATTGAATACAAAAGTAAATATTGTATAAGAATTCTACAAATAGTATTGTAGAGTAAAATCAAGTATTGAATTAATTTTAAAATATTCTCATCGGTCGGAACAATGATTTTATTGAGATTTTATTAAATTTTTTGGTTAAAAAGTATTCGAGAGAGCAATAAAATTGATGTATTATTTGCACATATAATGTAAATTATAGTAAATGTCTTTGTATTTAATGTTTTTTATATTCATTTT